TCGTCATTAACAAAAAAGATGAATGGCTGTTAGAGCGCTCGGACTTGGAGACGTCTTTTAGTCGTAGTTGCCACACTCATCTCCATCCTTTCAACTTATATGATTATATTCATCAAATCTCCGAAACGTATAAATAGGTCATTGTTTTGTTTTTCTATCCTGTGGGGTGAGGGACAAAAAAAATCAAAATTCTGTACGCTGGAATTATAGTTGTTATAATTGCGATACAATAATTCCAAATGCTATTGGGTATTCTTTGAACATTTTGATGAAGAAATTGATAAACTATTCAAACTATCAAAATCATCTTTTTTGTGATGAATAAGTATAAGAATCAATTCTCGCTCATGTGGGTTCCAAGGTGTTGAGGGAATGACGCAGCTGATCGCCTAGCAAAAAAGTGCAGAGCTCACATTCCACCTTGAGACAAGTAAATGTCACCAAATATCACAGAGCTCAGAAAATCAGAATGAAGTGAAAAATCCTACTACTGTTGACCAACTCCAGGTAAACGAGAGGGAAAGAGTTCTTCAACAATTCGTCAGCTAGTGAGTCTCAGCAAACAAGAGCTAAAGCACTCTCTGAGCTATTACTAAAAACAATGGGTCCAGAGGAGACTGACACTAAACCGCGGAGCACCTTTGTTCATGTAATGTACCAGTCCGCCAAAGGCTGACTGCCCTAGAACAGGTCTAGATAACGCCTATTGAGGCGGAAAATTCAACCGCCAAGAAAATATTTGGCTTCATTAGGAGTCTAGGATTATAGAAAGCAATTAACAGATGAGGGTGATCATATGATCTGAAATCTAATCGTCACTACATCGTCGTTTGGCAGGGGGCTGGTACCACAGAGCTGGTACCCTGAAAATCGTGCTAGGAAACTTGATTTTCCTACTCCGTTAACGAATAACAAGAGGCAGGTAAGAAAACCAATATTCTTCCTAGTTGATGTGAATATACTTAAGCACAGTGACATGTCGAGAGTCACATGAGTTACATGCTGACAAAGGTGAGAATTAACTCATCCACATCAGGCAATATAGTTCATTTCTTCGAGGAATGCGTAGATTTGGATTTATCTGCGAAAACCGACGAGAAACGCTATTGCTTGAAAAGTACGCAAATTTGGTAAATTTTCAACTAGCTCTATCTCCGCACTCGTTAGTCGAGAATTCATGAACAATGACAATTATATTAAAGAAATTCAATCTTCTTCCACTTTCTATAGGGCAGTCTTTTCGATATAACGTATAATTTCCGAGTTACGGACAAGAACCGGAAAAAGTCAAATATGTTGCTGTTTATTTGCGAATATCTCGGAACGCTCCACGCAATTTTGTTTGCAAAATTCAGATTCGAATTCGGCACCTTCAAAAACATATGAAACAGCAGAGAAACCGACTACTCGAATTTTTTCCAAGTGAAAATACCATCTGATTGGACTAGTTGGGGTGCTATGTCGATACGACGGACATTTGACCACTTCTCCCAGGTAAATCTCTCCGATGAGTGAGCTGCATCCGGTTATACATATATTCAGAATGATTCATTCAATACAGTATGCTTGAGCCGAATGAATATTCGAAAAAATATATTGGGCTGATGAAAAATCTCGTGCAAAATGAAATATCTGAAGAATATAAGTTAAAAAATCAATGTTCGGGAAATCCAATAACATCCTTTCGTCGAACAATACTCTACCAGAACTTGTTATATCAGAGCTAGAGGCACTAAGGGTAATCGGCGGGTGGTTTACCGCTAGAATAACTATTCAGGCGATCCGAAGGCTTTTCGATGAAACAGTGAAATAGATTTATTTATTCAAGTGTACTTCGTCCAACAGCTTGCGCCAATTACAGGACGGAAACTTAAACATAAAACAAGTGTATAAATCAACTAGAATAAACAAAGCCTGATTCAACTAACAAATTGATAGATTGATTAAATACATACAAACTATATGCATATACTTACATAACGAATATACTAGATAAAAAAATTTAATAACTGCACTAACAACTACTAATATGCTAAGTACATCACAAAAAAATATACGTAAATATGATCAGGTATCATTATTCATTACAAACCTTCTGTGAGCTTGTCTGACGCATGTCAAAACTTGCCCCAGACTACTATGGTGGATATCACAGTCTCTACATATTTTATTGAAATTTGAACACATAATGTTTACAGGTGACTTCAACATTAAATTTGTATTTGCACGACTACATAGAAATTTTTAAGTTTGACGAGACCCAATTCGTGGAACATAAAAGTTTATTTTTGAAACAATATCGGGACAATCAATTTCATGGTGTACTATTTTGTATAAAAATGTTATTGACATGATTATTCTGCGAAGCTCAAGACTGCTGAATTCAAAAATTCCCAGTGTATTCTTATAATTTTGTCCCCTAGGTGGATATACACCAGTAGTTTTGTATATTAGGAATTTCAAGAATTTTCTCTGTACTCTCTCTACTTTATCACTATGAACCTGGTAGTGTGGATTCCAAATCATGGATCCGTATTCAAGCTTCGATCTTACAAAAGAATAGTATAAAGTTTTTCTTACTTGCATATCCGTAAATGATCTACAGCTTCTGATTATGAATCCAAGAATTTTAAGAGCCTCATTAGTTTTATTGTCTATGTGCTCGATAAAACTTAAATTACTATCAAATATGATTCCTAAGTCCCTAGTAGAATTCTTATGAACTATTGCTATATCATTTATTACATAATGCTATAGAACTGGATTCTGTTTTCGATTATATGATACAGTTTTACATTTTGTCGCATTCAATTGTAGTCTATTTAAATTGCTCCAATCACTGATAATATTCAAATTGTTTTGTATTTCCAAACAATCATCAGCTGATTGCACATTTTTGAATATCTTCAAATCATCTGCAAATACTAGTTTCTCACACGTCAGTGCGGCGCACAAGTCATTTATGAACAAGAGAAAAAGTAAGGGTCCAAGATTTGATCCTTGAGGAACTCCAGAGCTGGCTGTGTATGGCAAAGACGCATGTCCGTTATATGTAACATACTGCTCCCTTTTATGTAGATACGAGCGAAAGAAAGATATCATTTTGATCGATAATCCAAAATAATGAAGTTTTTTCAGCAGAATATTATGATCAATCCGGTCGAACGCTTTAGAAAAGTCAGTGTATACTACATCTACTTGTCCCTGCTTATCCATTATTTCAGACACATATTGAGTGAAGATAACTAGATTCGTATTAGTTGAGCGTTTTGGCATAAAACCGTGTTGATATGTGGATATTATATTGACAGTACATTTTTGGATATGATTATGTATCATTATTTCGAAAATTTTTGCGAAGTTGCATAGTAAGGACACTGGTCTATAGTTTTCTACTTTTGCTCTATCACCGGCCTTAAAAATAGGACATACCTTGGTAATTTTCCATTTACAGGGGAAGTTGGCGGTTTTGAGAGACATATTGAACAGTTTCATGAGTGGAATAGCCAAAGAGAATCTACAATCTTTGATAATGAATGCTGGTATAAGATCTGGACCAGATGTCATTTTATTTTTGAGTTTTTTCATGGCATTCTCTACTTCGTTGACAGTTATATTTCGTATGTTGATTGTCTCAATGGAAGACATGCATTGATCATCATTTATGTCATTATCACAATTCTGGTTATTTGAAACAGGTTTTAAGTAAACGCTTTCGAAAAAATTCGCAAAAGAGTTTATAATATCTGTGGAATCTTCAAGTGTGACATTGTCGTAGACCATTTTTCCCGGAATTCTGGATTGTTGTTTTTTTGAGTGAACAAAGGACCAGAATTGTTTTGGATCACTATTTATTGATTTTTCTATATTCAGATTCAGATATTTTTTATGTGCTTCTTTTACTTTTGTTTTGACTAATGCTCTAAGTCTCTTAAATTCGTCTAGATCTTGTTGTATTTTTGTTCTTTTGTACTTTTTGAAATGTTTATTTTTAACCTCAATCAGATCGATGATTTCTCTAGTGAACCACTTTGGAAATTTCTGTTTTGTATTTTTATAAATAGGAACGTACTGATCAAAAATTTCATAAAGTATAGTATAGAAGGAGTCTAATGCATCATTTATATTATTTGTGACGCTATCTATGAATGACCAATCCACACCAAGTAGTGCAGAATATAGCCCAATATAATCTGCCTTCCTGAAATTGTACATTTTGTGATCATTACTAACATTCATATTATGAGTTCTCGATTTTAAATCTAGCTTGATGAACAGTGCAGGATGATATATATCTTCCCTCACCATTGCAGAAGTATCATGGAAAATATCACAGTTTATGTTAGTTAATACTAAATCTAGTAGACGGTTATCATTGTTGAAGATACAATTTTTTTGTTGTAAATTATAGAAAGCCTGAAAATTGTGCATGAGCATAGCTCTTCTATCAATATCATTCGAATGGAAATTAGGCAAGTTAAAGTCACCCATTATTAGGATTTTTTTTTCTAACATAAAACTAAATTGTACAAATGATTCGAGGAATTGTTCATATGTATCATAATCTAAATTGGGAGGAACATAAATAGCAAAAACAAATACTACACTATTGTTAGTATGACATTTACAACATATTATATCAATCTTGGGAAACTGCGTTTCGATCACCGTAAGGTCTACTTTCTCACATTTCAGGTTACTTTTGAATGCTAAAAGAACACCCCCTCCGCTGGATTGACCTGTTAGATGAAACTTTCTGTCACTTCTTTGAATATCGTAAGCATCTGGAAATAGTTCAGAGTTTGAAAAATCCGGGTGTAACCACGTTTCCGTGAGTGCTATGATATCAAACTCATTGGTTGAGATTGAGGAAAAAAATTGTTGCGTTTTTGTGTTGAGGCCACGTACATTTTGGTAACCACATACAATTTCTGTTTCAGTGGACATATTATTTATATTAGGTATATGTATGGGTAGAAGTGGTAGAGGTTCCGAGACAATCACTTATTAGAATTTTTTCGGGTAATAGGTTTGTCCCGAGGTATATCCCTGGCGGGTTTTTTTATCGCGCCAGTTTTTGGAGTAACCTGAATACCTAGATTCCCTCTACTGTCAGTTATCTTCTTGTTATCGACTTGTGATGGTTCTGTAGGTTCTTTTATAGTATTTTGTAGCGTGAGTTCAATGGTGGGTGTGCCCGGGTCGCTATGAGATTGGGATTGGAAGTTGACCTCAATTTTTTCTTCCAAGCTCTCTAGGTCACTAGGTGTAAAGATGCGATCATTCAAGTGGAGTTTGTTATTTTTCATGAAGCAAGTATTATTTTTGTCTTGTTTCGCAGCGTATAAGTGCTTTCGTAGAATTTTATTTTCAGTTCTCTGTAGCTCAGTCAAATCGTGAGCGATACTTATTGATGTTCCTTTCAGGTTCTTGGTTCCCTTGAGGACTGTGATTTTCTTCAGGTATGATGTGAACTCGATTTTTATTGGACTATTATTAGTTTGACCCAAAGAATATATATTATTGAGATCACTTTCCACCAGTCTGACATTCAGAAGTTTTTGAATCAGATCGATTATGCTTTCGACTGATATAAAGCGTTCTTCTCTTTCGAAACCAAAAATAATAATATTATTCTTCCTCTGATTCCTTTCGAGTATTTCTACTTTACTCTTCAGTTCTTCGTTTTCTTTTTCTGCTTGATGGAGTCGGTGATTAATTTCTTCAATTTTCAAGGAGAGTTTGACTTCCACCGCTTGTATTGTTGACTTCAAGATATCATAAAGGGGTCTAAGAATGATTATATATTATACAGAGCGTCTCAGTATCAAATACTCTGAACATGGACATATCGATCACAAAGTCCTGAGATTCTCAAATTATCATGTTAAATTATGAATTATACATCAGCGAACAGTAACATCGAATAGCATCAGCAATCGTGAAATATGCCAAATAACTCTCTACTAAAACTGGTAATGTAAGGGTTCGGGTCGCTACTGGTTATGAGCGGGTAGTTTACCATCATGATCATTATGTTTGCGATTCAATAGATCATAATGAGCAATGCCAATTACAATTCATGTAGTATAGGTTGTCACTGAAATCCTCAGGTATTTCTCATACAAACCATCATTCAGCCGATCTGATAGAGCATGAAAAATAAACCTGATCAGAAGTCTATCTTCCATCTAAACCACGCAACACTTATTTCGTCGCACCCCAAAATTTTGCCCCTGTTAAAATATGAATAACTTTTTTCTGCTTTCAACAATGCGAATTCAGATCACACTGTTTGCTAGCCCAATCCTTCAGCTATAATCTCTTCCTTTTTCAACATGAGGTTCTTTATATAAAATCGCAACAGGGTGTTACATGGAACTGTGCAAAATTCCGTAATTTCCAAAACGATCCCAAATGAAGAGGATCTCTGTTTTCTCAACTTTGGCAGCAGAGGCATGTAGATGATCTCATTACCATAGTGCATTTCTTCAATTGTCTTCTCATCTGTTTTATCTACAGAGTGATCTCAAGAGATTAACTTTTTGGTTTCGCAGTCATAACTTTCGTCCTCGCCAAATGATTTTTAAACTTTCAGGCTCATTTTCTCATCTTTGGTGATTGTTGAGTTGGCAAATTTGCAGGTGCAGGAGATATACTGATAATCTTCATCATCCATCTCCAGTTCGCCAATTGATTCGAAATCAGGAAGTTTAATTAACAAACTTCTTATATTTCTCCCAAGAAATGTTCTGTTCTGAAAAATTGAATTTTGTGTCACTTCTCATGGAAGCATCCTCGTATCTTATTCATTATAGAGGTAAGTTTCTCAGATTCGCAGAAGAAAGAGGAAGACCAAAGATAGAGTCAATAACGTAATATATGGTGGTGCTTCCATGAAAAGTCAGACAATATTTTATTTTTGAGAAGTGACAACTAACCAGGAAAATGTGAAAAGTAAGTGAAGTGGACGTCCTGATTTTGAATCCAAAGTGATTTCAACTCAACTTGCATCCTAATATAATTTTTCTGGCTGATTCCACGACTGTTGGCTAGCAGTGCATATCACTGAAAATAAACGTACTTGTTCAAGGGGTGTATTTTCAGTATATCTCCCGCTCCTGAAAATTTCAGAATCCTAACTCAACAATTACGAAAAATACAGGGGTAATAAGGGGCATTCGCAGTGAGACACACTGTAAATTGTTCATCTTGAGTCAATTCTGGTCGTCACTTCTCTCCTTCAGAAGTTTCAGCTTCGAAATGAGCCTGAGATTTCAGAAATGGGTAGACGAGGAAAAATGTTGTGACTGCCAAACCAAAAATTGATTTCTTGAGATCACTCTGTGGAAGGAGATATAAGCAGACCATTCCATGTTCCATGGTGATTTAATCATCTACATTCCCCTGCTGCCATAGTTGAGAAAAAAGTTTTTTTTTTCATTGGGGATCCTTTGGAAAGTTCTGGAATTTTGAACAGTTTCAGGTTACACCCTGTAGCGATTTTGCGTAAAGAGCCTCATGTTTTGAAAAGTACAGGATTAAAGCTGAACGACTGAGTTCAAGAACGGTGTGACTCACATACATCAAACACGCTCACGTTCCACCCACACACAGCATCCACATTGTTTCAATCAAATGTAATCAAACTCAATGTAGAAAATTCACTGTCATATTCGATAATTTATATGGATATACTCATGAAATCTATCAAAACTATCATACAAATGAGGAAAAATGAAAATTGCAGCTTGTTTCTACACAACCAGGAGGTTGGGCTCAGGCGCGTTGCTTCTTTTTCAAAGTGAGAAGCTTTCCCGTGAATCCTTCTGTAACCACTCGCGGTGATGAATATTTAGGTTGACAATTGAAGCATATTTGTTCGATGTTGTTTCCAGATAGCACAAACTTTCATTTCTAGATCATTTGAAAGAAACGGCTGATTGCTGAAGTTCCTATAAAAACAGATCATTCATTCATTCACCTGAATGATTTTTCTATGTTTGTGACACCTTTTCTTTGTATTGCTAACTCAACCATTCATCACAGATTTTATTTTGAATTTATTATCGACGTTAGATAGATAGATAGATAGATAAATTTATTGAAGCTTTCAATTCAAAACAGTTGAAAAACTCGAGTCATATTACAAACTTATAAATATAAATATATGTCTAAATTGTCGTCAAAAGTTAAACGATTGAAAATATAGCTTAACTAACACTAAATTGAAATGATTGAAATATCACAGTCAAACAATATTATTATAAAAGAACACAACATAACACATAACATGTAAAACGAGAATTATATAGGTGGGTATCACATAATAAAGAAAAACAATAATTTAAGTAATTTTTCATAGAATTCTTGTAGTGAATATGGTTCTTTATCACACAATACATCGAAAACATGTTTTTTGAAAATTCCTTTCTTTATACAGTCTACTCTGATCTTCAAGGGTATATTGTTACAAAATTTAATAGCTGCATAGTGCGGTCCCTTCTCAGTATTTTTTAATCTATGCTTAGGAATAAAGTAATTTGATTTCTGCCTGGTGGGATATTCATGTTTGTATGTGTCCCTTTCGAATTTTGATTTATTATCATGTACAAAAAGTACACATACATAAATATACATCGCATATACCGTTAGCATTTTGTGATGTTTGAAAATACCACGACAAGATTCTGTGTATTTCATGTTCAGCATAGTTCTCATGATTCTTTTTTGCATTAGAAAAATACGTTCTAAATGAGTTCTTCCACCCCATATCAAAATTCCATACTTCAGAAACGGATAAACGATCCCATAGTATGCTGTTTTCCAAATTTAGGACCCTAACTGTCAATCTGTATATTGCCTCATCATCTGCCATCCTTGCTGATGGATTTGGATAATGGCATTATGGAGAAGTTTCGTTAGTATCATGAATAATGTATCGTTCTCCATCAGTTGCGCTCAATGCTTCTCTGTTGTGTGGTTGAAAATACAACATGTTGTTTAGGTCTGATGAAATTTTGCGAGACTGTTTACTGCTCATGAGGTTCCATACATTTAAAATAATGTTGGAAAGTATTTTTCGTTTCAACGACAAGTGATTTCACTCCTTTTGCTTTATTCGTAACATCAATATTTATAATGATTCCATCCTCATCATAATTCTCCTCTTGCAACTTTGCCCTCTTTTTCATTATGTCATTTTCAGTAATCAGCACCTTTATTGTGTATAATAATTCTGATCGTAAACCCACATAATCCGTGATAATATTCGAGTTTTTTTCACCTCATGATAATACCAAGACTTTCTTGTTGACCTGAAGAATGCTATAGTTGTTATCGCTGGGATAGTCCGAACTATCGAAGTGAGTGTGACAATCTCGCTCCATGACATTATACTGATACTGAACTCCTCATCTCATATATGAGTGAGTCTGTGTCAGTGACGGTGCAATCATCACCAAACTCACCGAGCATGTATTCATAGGGGAAACCATATAAAGTTGTCGTGACAAGATCTAGAATGGCTTGACCAACGTATATGGGCTTGTTCAATCAGATACCCGATTTCCTGAGTTTGGCTGCAACTCAGTTCTCATTGAAATGGCGCAGTTTTTAGATTCGGGTTAGGAAATATGAGCCTCAGCACCATATATTTCCACCAACTCCTGCAAAAGTCTGACATTAACTATCTTCCTAATGTTCTTCATTGTCTTACCAGAGACGGCGTTGTTCATGAGCTTGAAAATACTTCTCATTTTAATGTTTCGCTAGTTTGCGAAATTCTGTGCTCAGGTCTATGTATGATTTTACCCACGTTGTTACGAGTGCTTAACGTGAAGATTTCAATTTCGATCAGACTTATTTACCGTTTCTTGACCAGAGTGTTTGAGAGGTGAGTTCAACAAAAACGAAATAAATAAATATATATCAATATATCACATGCTTGAATGACCAAATTCAATTTGACTGTATTCCCTTTTTCATCTCATTAAATTTCGTTGACTTTCGAATTATTTACAATCTGTTCAGTGTTTTCCTATTTTTCCACAAATTTCAAGAATCAAATTTTCAAATTTTGACATTTTCCATACAGAGCACGCCATCTATCTCCTGTCGCACGATTCACTCACCTCAAGCTTGTTACTTGTCAATACAGGTTGCTTTGAGTTTTCACATTACAGTATTCTGTCTTCCTTTGGTTCTTCAACAGGTTCTAATTTTTTTACATTCACAGCGCTTTGGTTTTTATTGTTTCTATAATGATCAAGACACGCAGATCTTCTTCGGCTACCTATGACGAACTTGATGTTCCTTTTGAGGGATTGGCTTTTTTTCTCCCTTTCAAAATTACCCAATTTGAACACCATTCTTCGAATTGATTGATCAATTATGTATTTAGATGAAGTTTTTTCGCCTTCACGATGTTTTATGATTTCCCATGTGAGTACAACCACCTCACCTTTGGTTTGCCATTTTTTTATCAGAATTTGTGCTTCAAAAAAATAATAATTAATAATAATAATAATTAATAATAATAATAATAATAATATCAGTTTATTATGATCGACAAGAAATTTTGTGTACAATTCGTCAAGGCTATAGATAAAGTGAATACAATAATATAATACAATGTCAAATAATATGAGTTTAACAAACATTTGGATAAAATACATCACATTCAAAAAAAAATTAAAATCAGTTCATGAAACAGTCAAAGAACTCACTTAATGAGTAAAGCATATGTTTAGTGAGGAGAGCTTTCAGGCTATTCCTAAATTTGAGGTGAG